TCTGAGATACAGGGAGATACTGGCCCTGCAGGGAATACTCCAGAAGTAACTCATGGCAGTTGGTAAACCTGCCTTTCAGGGTTCTAATGGAGCTAGAACGCAGTTGTTTTGCTCTTCAGCAATGAAAATATCTCCTCCAGTACTAGGAGCCTACTTTTTCTGATCACACATACTTGGGCTCGTCATACTCTGGAGGCTTGAGTGGTATCCATGGTCCAGATTGATATAAACTGGAGTTTTTTCTTAACGGGCACAGGAGTCTCCATACCAACAGTATTAAGACCAATGAATCCAAAGGTAAAGCACTGAAGGAAGAAGCCTTCTGGACGAAGAGGTGATTTTTTTTTTTTTTTAGGTCCCAGAACAAGAGCAGTTCCAGGGACAAGTTTCGCCTCTCTTCTGGTGCTAAGAGGAAAAGCACATGAAAGCCTACACTGGACCTAAGAGGGGCCAGCAAGAGGCTGAATGTTAGAGTCTTTGGGATGGAGTCAATCAGATCCATATCTCAAGCAATCTGGAAGGATAATTTCCTTACCTCTATATATCTCAAGGATGTTTACTTTCAGTCCAATCTGCAGAGATCTTTGGCATTAGCTCAGAAGAGAACTTCCATGTTAGTGCCCTACCATTTGGCCTCAATGCTGCCCCAAGAATCTTTCTATGTGCTTATAATGTTATTGAGAGTCCAGAACTCCACCTGTTTCCATTATCTGGAGGATCTACTTCTGATAGCCTTAGACCCTCAGAAGGCAGGCACACATAGGTATATAGTTCTTTCATAACTCCTAAAGTTTGGCTGCTTGATGAATATCAAGAAAAGCAGTTTCAGACCAGCTCAGTGGATGACATTCCTGAGTGGAAAATTCTAGGCTCTGCTTTTCCCTATCTCGGGAACAGTTCCACAGATTATAAAGGTTTTCTCTCCCAGTTTCTTCATTTCTGCCTGGTAACCGCAAGAAAATAGATGCAACTACTATGAATCCTGGCTTCCATCAGCAGACTTGTCAGATGGGCCCAATGGCATCTCTGGATTCCTTACAGATCCTTCCTATCTTGGTCTAACAAGAGAAAGATTATTGGAGCCAGCCACTTACTATGTCCCCATCAGTGGAGTTGCACCTTACCCTGGCAGCTGAAAGAGGGATTAGATCTCTGAGTTTTCCAGTGAACAGAACCTCATTGGTCAATTATTAGCTCGAATTCCAGTTTTTATAAGATTGGTTGCACAGTGTTTGGACCATGTTGCACAATATTTCCATTCATTTGTATGGAATTAAGAGTCATTTTCAAGGCTCTTCTTCAATTCAGAGGCTTGCTGAAGAACGAGTGGGTCCAAATTTGCTCAAATATGAATGCAACTGTATCCTATATCTACCAAGATGGGTCTCACAGATACGTACTGATGGAATTCCAGCCCATAATGATCAGGGCACAGAAGAACAACCAGTGGCTCAGAATACCATGGCTGTTTGCTGGAGCCGAATAACTGTGGACAAGGTGGATTGGCAACCATGTCCTGACGTATCCTCGTGGTTGACGCATATTGTCTGATACCTTACATAGATCTGATGGCCATTTCTTGGAACTACCAGGTCCAGAAGTATTTTTTACATGCTAGGACCAGAATGCTCAGGTTCAGGATACACTGGCTCAAATTTAGAATTTTAGTCTGATGTACATATTTTCCTGTTTTCGACCTTCTTAAAAAGGCAATGCAAAAGGTGACGGTGGAAGACCGTGTCGACTCTAATTCTTATGATGAATAAGATTATTCTGGAACCTCCAAAGGAATTCCTGTACGTCCAGACCTATTACAAGGCCCCATGACACACCAGGATCCTCAAGTTTTGGTGTTGATGCGGGAGTCCATATTAGTATAGGCATCCCTGAGACGGTCATTGAGATCCTCTTACAATCCTATACAGGCTTTACTAATCTTGACATGCTTTTGTCTGTTGGAATTACTCCTTGTTCAGGCCTTGAAAGGTTCTGTGTTAGAACACTCTAGAGGAACACTTAGCTGCACTTTGCTTCATATAGGCATTGATTGAAATCATGCCTCCACTGAGTGTGGTGAAGCCAATATGTGACGTACCAATGGTCACACGGGCCCTGACTGAACCATTATTCGAACCTCTAGTAGGAGCTTCCATGGTGGTAGCACAGAAAGTGCTGGTGGCTGGTACCCCAGCTAGAAAATTGGGTGAACTCCAGGCTTGATCCTGTGAACCCCCTTTCACTACTTTTCAACGGATATGGTCGTCTTGCATTTGGCACCTGAAGATCCTGCCTATGGTGAATGCTTATCTATGTCATTCTCTACCTGTACTGAAGGGTACTGATTGAGCGTTGATGCCCCTGGTGCTTTGCTTCATGTAAGCAACAATTGAACTCAAGCCTCCGCTGAGGGTGTTGAAACCAATATGTGACGTACCACTGGTCTCACAGACTCTGACTGAACTCCTAGCAGGAGCTTCCATGATGTTAGCCCAGACGTTGCTGTTGCTGGTGACTGGTACCTCAGCAGGGTGAATGTGTGCACTTGCTGCACTTTGCTTCATATAGGCATTGATTGAAATCATGCCTCCACTGAGTGTGGTGAAGCCAATATGTGACGTACCACTGGTCACACGGGCCCTGACTGAACCATTATTTGTACCTCTAGAAGCAGCTTCCATGGTGGTAGCACAGAAAGTGCTGGTGGCTGGTATCCCAGCAAGGGAAATGGGTGAACTCCAGGCTTGATCCTGTGTACCCCCATTCACTGAATTTCAACAGGATATGGTTGTCTTGCATGTAGCACCAGTGATCGTGCCTAAAGTGAGAGCCTTTTAATGCCATTCTCTACCTGTAGCAAAGGATTTGGGGCATTCTTCACTAGTGCTGTTACAGCATCTCGTGGGCTTCCATGGCAATGGTCTCTGCTGAAACTTTGTAAAGTTGGCATTTGAACTAGTTTGTCCTGCATTACATATTGAACATTGAAGCAATTAATGAGGCACAATTTGGATGTCACGTCCGTTCTCTACCTGTGCTGGAGGGTATCAGGGCACTCTCCTCTAATGCTGTTGCAGCATCATGGGTTGCCATGGCAATGGCTTCTGCTGACACTTTTTGTAAGCTAGCATTTGAACCTCTTTTAGACACGTTTGTCTGGCATTTCATACTGTTCGTTAAAACAGTCTATGATGCACAATTTGGTACTCAAGTACTTAACTCAGTTCATTCTTCTATCTATGTTGAATTATTCTGATAATTTGATTGGCTATTCTGTCCCTCCCTTTGTAAGCTTGGGTATTCCCCATGTGTATATGCTGCCATGATTAGCCAGGAAAGTGGAAAATTTATTCATACTTACCGTAATTTTCTTTTCCTGGCTATTATTCATGGCAGCATATACTTCCCACCCATTAATGTCTCTATGTACTGTAGAGCTTGTAAACTGACTGAGGACCTTAGGGATGGAGACTCCTTTTAAAACCTTGGTGGTTTTCCTGTCCTATCGGCTGTAGGGGAGGAGCTAACCCATGTGTATATGCTGCCATGAATAGAAAATTACGGTAAGTATGAATACATTTTCCACTTTCATTTCGTCATATCAAAGAGTTATGCCTAGCTTTCTTCTGTACAAGATCTTGTACAGAGTGTTCACGTAGAGCAAGCACATGCCGTAGAACTCAAGACGTGTAACTGTTTCTCTTATTGATTTATGTGAGATAGCCTTTAGAGCAGCTGCAAGATTGTCTGACTAGCTAGTTTTTCATTCACGAAAAATTATGACTGACGCTACTTGTCTAATATTCGTAGCTGTTACATTGCTGCTGTGGAGTTGTTGAGTAGATCCATTCTTTTTCTTATGAACAATATAATAAGTGACTGAGTCTACTATGAGCGGTAAAGCTTTTAATACAACGCTGACAGCTGAATTTCATATCTGCCATTGTTTTCTGCAGTTGAAGTACACTTTTCTACACTACACTGTAAGGATTAATTTGTAAATGTTTGTTAACTTGCACATATGTAGATAGGACTAATCAATGGTTCTTACGAACCACTTGGCTTTTCCCTCATCTTAGAACACATAGACTAAGACTACCCAATAAAGTTAATGTTTGTTGCAGGACATTGGATAACAAAGATGTGTTTCTGTTAAATTGGATTCAATTGCATTTTGTGAGTAGAATGTTTTCCCCAGGGGAATACATTGCGCCTATTATTAAAACATACATTATTCCTGGTTCTGTTAACATATAGAAGAATTTTAGCTGTGCATTTAAGCGTTGTAGAAAGACTGTTGAATGTGTCACATCTGTTGGCAGAGGTTAAGGTGTTATTTAATTATAGTCTCTTATTTCTTTCTAATCAGGCACAGGACTTTTATGTAGAAATGAAATGGGAGTTTACAAGTTGGGGTAAGTAGCCATTCGTGGTAGAAGTAAATGTGACACACAACACTTATTCTGGGTATTATTTCAGAAATCAAAAGAAAAACAGAAAAATTATTATCCATTAATTCCCTCTAAGAAAGGAGATGGCATTGAACCTTTGTTTAGAGCAAGGGTTAAGAATGATGCCTCATTTCAGATATATAAGGGTCCGTTTGCTGATTAATATTATTGTAACCCTCTGATTTAGAGAGAATATATTATTGGCCAACCTCCCTTCCTTAGGTCAGGGGTAGGCTACCTTTTGGCACTCCAGATGTTATGGACTACATCTTCTCTGATGCTTTTCCAGCATTATGGCTGAGAGAGAATTATGAGAGATGTAGTCCACACGATCTGGAATGCTGAAGGTTCTTTACCTCTATTCTAGGTGAATGCATGGAATCTGTGACTACATCCGAGATAGATTCTATACCTCTAGGTTGATGTAGCTGAAGTAATTATTAATTCGTGTGTGTCAAAAAGCTCCACTATTAATGATGTCCCGAACGGTTCGCCGAACGGTTCGCCGCGGACTTATCATTGAGTAAACTTTGACCCTGTACCTCACAGTCAGCAGACACATTCCAGTCAATCAGCAGCAGACCCTCCCTCCCAGACCCTCCCACCTCCTGGACAGCATCCATTTTGTGAAGCTGCATTCTTAGTGAGCTGTCCAGGAGGTGGGAGGGTCTGGGAGGGAGGGTCTGCTGCTGATTGGCTGGAATGTGTCTGCTGACTGTGAGGTACAGGGTCAAAGTTTACTCAATGATGAGTCCGTGGCGAACCGTTCGTGGCGAACTGTTCGCAAACCGTTCGGGACATCACTATCCACCATACTAAAAATCTGAAATGGTTATAGTGTGACAGTGTAACTGCATGACAATCCCATATTAAATGCCTTTGTTTGCTAAGCTGTGAAATCTGTCATTTAATTACCCCAAACAGCACAATTTCATTTGACTTCCAGGGTCAAAGTTATTAACGTTTAAAGGTATTGCTGGTTTATTTTTCTTTTTGAAAAATCTTTCAACTTTAGTCACTGCTTGATTATTTTAGCCTAAATTTAGCAATTCTGCTCTTACTACATGACAATTCACTGTTTAGTGATTAAATCCCAAAAGGTTCACTGTAATAAAAATAATGTATTTGTAACACATCATATGTTTTTGCCTCAGTTTTGCCATTGGGATTTAATTCATAAACATTCAGGGTTTAGTGAATAACTCTGATCAGTTTTGTGGAGGATTTGGTTGCAGTGAGAAATCTGTGCTGCATATTTTTTAACATCTTTAAAAACATAGTTAATCTCACCTTTTATTACAGAGCCGGCACAGATTCCCTACTGCAGCCCAGTCCTCCTCTTTTAAAGACAATATTATTATTTTTTTGCAGAAATTCAGACTTCAGTGAATAACCCTGTGATGCCTTTTGTTCAATTAATGCTTCTCATAAGGAAGCATTGAGGGCAGATTGAATGCACAGCAATCACTACAATCTGTTAATCCAATGCTTCTGTATGAGAAGCATGGGATCCAATACTTCTGATAGGGAAACACTGGGCATACATCAAGTAATTGAATCGATTTCGAGTTCCTAGTGTCTCTTTGTCTGATAGCCAGTAGAGACATGATAATTGCAAAATGTAATCATAGTTTTAGAATTGAGCAAAGATGACTGTATATACTACCACTAACTGAATGATGACAACTCTTTCTGTAGTGCCCTTGGTGTCCAAGATCTGTCCTAGTGACACGTATAAAGTGTGGAAAAGTGGCCAGAACCTGCGTGTAGATACCACGCTGCTTGGGTTTGACCACATGACTTGGCAACGAGGGAACCGCAGCTTCATCTTCAGGGGACAAGGTGAGTGTCTTGTAAGATTTAGTCCAAAATAAATATTTTTTTTTATGTGCTCATTTCATTAGAGTGTGCACCCAGATATATTTTTTAGAAGGTTGTGTGTGAGAGGTTACTTTGTTGTGCCTATGTGTGCGGTGGCTGTAAGTGTTGTATCTATCTGTGTCTCATATGTGTGAGTAGGTATGTGTGAGAATGATTGGGTAGCTTTTAGTGATGTTTGTTGCAGTGCGTGATGTATGTGGTTACGTGAAGTAGTATTGCTGTGTGTGATGTGTGCTGCAGGTGTGGGTAGCTGTGATGACTGACTGTGTGGGTAGATGAGTGTACTGTGAGTGTTGGGGATATGAGCTGCAGTGGGGAGAGCAAAGGATGCAGGAGAAGTATAGTGCAAGGGGAAAAAAACTTAATTAAAACAAAACATCTAAATAAACTAAAGTTTATCCCCCTCCCTGAGGCTTACCTTAGGCCACGGAGGGGGAGTCGTAATCCCTGGTGGTCCAGTGGGACATGCAGTGGGTTTGCCCTAACAGCATTACAGTCATGTATTCATACAGTATTTACTGATGGGCCTGATGAGAAGTTGAGACTGATTCTCCTTTTTGGGTGTTTTCGGGTGGGCCTGGGGACACACGGGACACCCTGTTAGCACTTCTGTGCATGCTATTTATGATAACTGAGCCTGGTTTTTAAGTCGATTTTTAACTTTGCTGGCATTACTGGTAGAACAGGTTTGTGACATTTGTGGAATATGGTTACATTAAAGATTCTCATACAATTCTTAGAAAGAGTTAGAACGCTTTATCAATAGAATATTGGGACTGGACTGTGATCAATTCCATAGCATTGTAGTTTGAAAAAAGGCTCAAGTCTACGAAGTGCAGGCTATCACATGCCCTATTGCTGCTGTTGATCCAAGAGTTGGGAAAACTTAGTTGCTTAGAGCATGATTTGGGTGCTGTGAATCCTTCATTATATGGCTATAAAAACATCATGTATCGACTCTGGATAATATGGTATTTCTCCTTTAGTAGTAATTGTAGGATAAACTGTCTTTGAATATAAACCTAAACCGGAATCTTTGTGTATACCTAAGGTAAAGTTTAGCATTTAAAGGAACACTATACAGGGAGTGCAGAATTATTAGGCAAATGAGTATTTTGACCACATCATCCTCTTTATGCATGTTGTCTTACTCCAAGCTGTATAGGCTCGAAAGCCTACTACCAATTAAGCATATTAGGTGATGTGCATCTCTGTAATGAGAAGGGGTGTGGTCTAATGACATCAACACCCTATATCAGGTGTGCATAATTATTAGGCAACTTCCTTTCCTTTGGCAAAATGGGTCAAAAGAAGGACTTGACAGGCTCAGAAAAGTCAAAAATAGTGAGATATCTTGCAGAGGGATGCAGCACTCTTAAAATTGCAAAGCTTCTGAAGCGTGATCATCGAACAATCAAGCGTTTCATTCAAAATAGTCAACAGGGTCGCAAGAAGCGTGTGGAAAAACCAAGGCGCAAAATAACTGCCCATGAACTGAGAAAAGTCAAGCGTGCAGCTGCCACGATGCCACTTGCCACCAGTTTGGCCATATTTCAGAGCTGCAACATCACTGAGTGCCCAAAAGCACAAGGTGTGCAATACTCAGAGACATGGCCAAGGTAAGAAAGGCTGAAAGACGACCACCACTGAACAAGACACACAAGCTGAAACGTCAAGACTGGGCCAAGAAATATCTCAAGACTGATTTTTCTAAGGTTTTATGGACTGATGAAATGAGAGTGAGTCTTGATGGGCCAGATGGATGGGCCCGTGGCTGGATTGGTAAAGGGCAGAGAGCTCCAGTCCTACTCAGACGCCAGCAAGGTGGAGGTGGAGTACTGATTTGGGCTGGTATCATCAAAGATGAGCTTGTGGGGCCTTTTTGGGTTGAGGATGGAGTCAAGCTCAACTCCCAGTCCTACTGCCAGTTCCTGGAAGACACCTTCTTCAAGCAGTGGTACAGGAAGAAGTCTGCATCCTTCAAGAAAAACATGATTTTCATGCAGGACAATGCTCCATCACACGCGTCCAAGTACTCCACAGCGTGGCTGGCAAAAAGGGTATAAAAGAAGAAAATCTAATGACATGGCCTCCTTGTTCACCTGATCTGAACCCCATTGAGAACCTGTGGTCCATCATCAAATGTGAGATTTACAAGGAGGGAAAACAGTACACCTCTCTGAACAGTGTCTGGGAGGCTGTGGTTGCTGCTGCACGCAATGTTGATGGTGAACAGATCAAAACACTGACAGAATCCATGGATGGCAGGCTTTTGAGTGTCCTTGCAAAGAAAGGTGGCTATATTGGTCACTGATTTGTTTTTGTTTTGTTTTTGAATGTCAGCAATGTATATTTGTGAATGTTGAGATGTTATATTGGTTTCACTGGTAATAATAAATAATTGAAATGGGTATATATTTGTTAAGTTGCCTAATAATTATGCACAGTAATAGTCACCTGCACACACAGATATCCCCCTAACATAGCTATAACTAAAAACAAACTAAAAACTACTTCCAAAAATATTCAGCTTTGATATTAATGAGTTTTTTTGGTTCATTGAGAACATGGTTGTTGTTCAATAATAAAATTAATCCTCAAAAATACAACTTGCCTAATAATTCTGCACTCCCTGTAGTGCCAGGAAACAAACCTGTTTTCCTGACACTATAGGTGTAACGGAGTCTTACCTGATAGGGAATCCAGCTCGCAGAGTTATACGCTCACCCTTGCAAAGTAGACACAGACCAGGGTGACCAGGTAAGACGCCACCTGGCCTGTGAGTCTGTGCACGGGGGCTTTCCAGGATAAGTGCTCCAAGACTCAGTACAGCAGGGATTAGCAGAAGCGTGGTCAAGGGAAGCCAAAATCAGGGAAGCCAGAGGTCAGAGTAGTCCAGGAGGAAAGCCAAGGTCAGAAGCCGGAATAGACAGAAATCACTGGAACGCAGGTACGGAGTAACAGGAACCAAACAAGGGAACCAGAGTCAATGAACTGACACCCCTCCCAGGGTGAGGCAGGTTTTTATACCTTGTTAATTAGGTATCAGATTCAGCTGGAGAGTTACTGACAGGTACGAGCCTTTGGTGAAGTCCAGCCCCCTAGTGCTGCAGGCAATACAAGAATAAACAGGAGTTATCCAAAGTCCTGAAATGGCTCAGAGGGAAGATAGCAAGATACGGTGTAGAACAACCGCAGTTCAAATCCCCTATCGGGTGCTTCCGGAGCGACCACGTCTGGCAGACTGGATGTCACGGCGTGACAGTACCCCCCGGTCAAGAACGCCCTCCGGGCGTGAACAGGTTCTTCCTGGAAATGGTACTCTTCATCTTCGGTCTCAGTATCGCTAAGATAGTCTTTATAATTAAGGTATCCTTTTACGACCTGGGATTTTTGTGTACCAGTTTCGGGTGCTATAGGGGAGGCATTTGCAGCTTTCAATGCTATTTCGAATACTTCTAGATCCTGTTAGCATACAACTTTGCCATTTGAGGCATAGGTGCAGTCAGGTGGCAGAACATTTTTGGCAAGGCAGGAAGTGGTGATGGTGCTTGCTTGAACAGAAGTGTCATCAGGAAGTGGTCCAACTGTTTCTGGAGCAGGAGGTGGAGATTCCACAGGGGTACTGGTAACATTAACTATAGTTGTTTGGGTACCCTTTTGTGTCACAGGACAGGGACAGGGCTGGCAGTGTCCAGGCTGTCTTGCTGGGATGACAGGGTAAGTCCAAATGGCACCAGACAGAAGGGGTCTTGTCCTAGGTGGACGAGTCGGGCAGAGCGATATGAAATGCCCTCTTTTCCCACAGTATAGACATAGACCATGGGCTCT